GTTTTTGGCCGAAAAGGATCAGACTTTCTACGAGCGTGGAATTTTCAAGTTGTCAGAGAGACGGCAAAAGGTCATCGAACAAAATGGAAAATACATTACAGATTAAACTTCGTTCCAAGTAAAAAAAATTTTGTTACTTCATTGAACAAATCGGCGATTACTTAGTTGCCAACCCAATATTTTTCATTCGTATCTGTTACGGCGTAACTGATGATCAGAACGGTTTACGTGTTTCGTTTCATATTCGACACTTCCAGATGCTTAATAGTAAATTAATAGCACGGAACTAGATAGTTTAAGCCAACTTTGACAATCGTCTCGTAACATAAAAAAATCTGCGGGAATAAACATGAAAGAGCGAAAAATCTTTCGACACTTAAAGTAAAGATTATCCTTTGTTAGCTTCTCTTCCGAGGAAATTAGAGGAGTAGAAGCTCTCACAGGCGCGGTTATTTACGGTACAGGAACACACGATACAAGACTAGTATTGAATAAGCACCTTATTAACTGGGTTAAGTTCCTACACCAGGTAACCGGAGCGTCCTCTTTAGGGTCAACTCATTACGGTTGAATTATACACAAGAATTATCGGAATATCGCCGAAATATAATATAAGGTGTGTTAGGTGCCGTTTTCGTCACAAAGGTACGTTTTCACTAGTTCGCTGGCGGCTGTATGACATTTTTCTTTGCATTAGTCGTATTATTTTTAAACTACGTATTGATCTCAGAACTTCTTAGGGGTTGGGATTCGTCTCAGGACCACCGGTTCAATAACGATAAATTAAACCCATTTCATACGCCTGGAATCTCATATATATATATATAATATAATATATATATATATTTATATATTATTTATTATATTTATATATATATATATATATATATATATATATATATATATATTTATTTATTTATTTCATATATATTTCATATATATATATATATATATATATATATATACAGTAAAGAGAGTTTGTTATAAATTTATTCGTGCGAATATTATGAGTTTTCAGAAAGAAAATCGATCGACTTAATTTATTATTGTTTGATTTATGGATTCGACGAGCCACCGCCCCTTGGGAATTTTACGGTTTAGGCGTATAAATTGATTGCAAGTGTTCGAAAGTTTCTTTCTCGAAACTCATGCTTCGTTCGCTTGGGAAAACTAGAATTTCAGCGTCCGAAAATTCCTTCTCTCCCCCACGTTGCGGGTCCGTTACACGTTTGTAAAATAAAAGAAAGATTCATAAGCAGAGAGAGAGAGAGAGAGAGAGAGAGAGAGAGAGAGAGAGAGAGAAAGAGAGAGAGAGAGAGAGAGAGAGAGAGAGAGAGAGTTGCCTATTTTCTTTTTTTTTGATTGAAGTTTCCATTTTCAAGCGCTTTGTCGTAAAAGGGTGCCGAACCTGCTGGGCAACCTTATTGAAAACAAATAATCGGCGAGTCAAGGGTTAACGTAACAGATAAACGTCATACTCGCACAAAAAAACGGACAAGAAAATGAACCGAGCCTGACGAAACCAAAATGTGGTTACGTAAAATGATAAAATAAATATTGAAAGTGATACAAGGAAAAGAACCGCGACTTATATAAGTAGCTATTGCGTGTACAATTAGGCGTGGAGGAAAAACGCAGAAGTTGTTAAACAACGGCTAGTTCTAGAGACAGAAAGAAAACATGGAAAGATGGAATGCTGGTGAATATGAGAATAAGAATGTATGTAGGATGTGAACAGGTGGCCGACAAAAATATAGTCAAATCTTGGCATCGCGAATCTCTATAAAATTATAAGTTTGTTTATTCTCTTCCATCTGTATATAAATACCTTTGCAAATCAAAATATAAATTACCTTCACCTCGAATCCAGCGTATACTTAAGCCTGTTGCTTTTCAATTTGTTATTGCTACTTCCGGTAATCGAGGTGATAGATATGCATTGTAAAACTACAAACTTTTAAAATAAAAAAGTAAAAATTAGCACTTGAGTACTTATATTATATTAGTTATATAGTATAACTATATAGTATAACTATATATTAGTTATATAGTATAAATATATAGTATAACTATATAGTATAACTATATATTAGTTATATAGTATAACTATATAGTATAACTATATAGTATAACTATATATTAGTTATATAGTATAACTATATAGTATAACTATATATTATATAGTACTTATATATTATATTATACTAGCACTTGAGTTTTGTAGATATGAAGAAACATTATTAAAAGAAGTGTTTCAGTATAGAGAGGTCTGTAATATGGCGGCAATAATATCTTTGCGCATGGATAACTTTCAGAGATTTTAAGATGCAGTTCGACATACAGTAATTTCTCTTACATTGTCCCTCAGCCCAAAAATGGACAATTTGGGAAGAGAAGGTACGATTATTCGAGCCTTGCCATAGTTGTTGACAATCGGTAACTATAAAAACAAGCCGCAAGGCTCGAATAATCGTATCTCCTCTTCCCAAATTATCCATTTTCGTGTATACAAGCTGAGGGTCAATCAAGAACAATTTACTGTACTAAACGGAATGAAAAATTACAACTTATACTAAATCAACAGGTGTCCTAATACTCTTTTGGAGGGGGGTGTATTTCACTCTGCTTATCCCGGATAATCTCGACGTTCTATTGTACTTGTTTATCGTACTTCCGCAGTCTACTTATAAAATTTATCGAAGAGGGAAAATTTATCTTGATCACCAATAATAGTCACGCATAAAAAGAATTAGATTTTGATCATACAATACGCAGGGTGTGATCGAAATAAAATTTTTGCCAACAATAATGATTGTTATCAACGAACAAAATGTTCGGTTAATTGTAAAATTGTTACCTTTAATCAAAAATTAAAATCTTTTAATCGTGTGGTTTCTGGAACATTTCTTTTACATTTCACGATCGGTAGGTTTTATTCGAATAATAAACACGTCACTGTTACCGACTGTTTCTACCGAAATTTTTCAAACGACCGTTGTTTTTCTGTCCCTGATACGTATTCCGCGTACCGAGAAAACGAATAAAATTCAATTTCACCAACCTGACGGATGTTTCGGCACGAATTCCACCGTTCTGGTCTTGTTCCTCAATCCTTCGCCGGTGCCGTCGATCCAAATATACGTAGCTTGGATTTGATCATCCCGTTGAGGCAGATCCAAATACTTCTTGAGCAAACCCTTGTCTAAGGCCGCGTTCGGCGATTCCTTCAGCATGGTACGCGACATCGTGACGCTGCAAACAATCAATAGGATCTCTATTAGCGGAATGAAGCCTGAACATCGTTGAAATTCGGGTGAAAATGAACGCACATATAATACCGCTTACAGTTTAGACGACTGACTAGCAACAACTGCTTTTAATTTGGAAGTTCTCTTTTTTGGAAGTTTTTTTAATTTGGAAGTACAACAAAGTCTCTCTAATACGATTACACTTGCTCACATTGTCCCTGTGCTATTCCTACGCCTATGCTAAGGTCCGACGGAGCCAGTCAAGCGTATATGACGCGGCACGCGACGCGGCTCCTTTGACTAAACGTATTCTTTGAACTGTTTGCCTGGAGCTGTTCCGTCCACGGAAGACGAGTGGGGGACAAACAATGTCCCCACGTGGCCACGGCACAAGAACAACAGAGAGACTTGCTACCGTATCTGTTCCTGCATCGGCAAAGGAGCATAGAAGGGGAAGAGTCGACGTTTGGGGGGCTCCTTACGTAGATGGTCTAGGAGTCCTAGACCAACGTTCTAACTTGGCCGCATGAAAACAGTGGAGTCGGAGAAAGGTTTTTGGTGCAGTGGCCGCGCTCGCGTTAAAAGATTGCCTCGATTTATTCTCGGTGCGCCAGAAAGAGGTGCGCCCACGTATCACGCAGTTCGCATGTAGCATCACGCGGCACGCACGCCGCCGCCGCGTGTACTCCGAGCGTATACGTCGCTTCGCGTCGATCTCTTCCATGCGTCGACAGTCGCACAATGCTGAAAACGCGATTTTAGCTGAACAAAATGATTTGTATTATATCCTTCTACAAGAATGTGTACATGTATGTATATTAAAAGTATCTTTTATTTCTTATGTTTTGTGTTATTCGTACACGAATACGCAAATGATTTCGGAAAAATTAGGAGATAAGAAAGTGCAGTGCGAAGCATAAGGAAACATAGTTGCAACATTTTGATCCTGTGATCATTGGATATACATACACGTTAACGAAATCGTCGGACAATTTTTCCTAGATTTTGCAAGTGTTTGGAATATAAGTATTTTCTTTTGTGAATGATTGATTTATATTGTACTCGCCACACACACACATATCGTATAATAGATGTTCTGATTACAATTGTATGAATACGATCGTTTACAAAGTGATCTTAATTTAATGGCATAAAAATGTTTCAGTTAAACGTGGAATCGATATCCAGACTTCTCTACACATGTATGTATGTTTCAATATCTGTAAAATTGCACAAAAAATTGTTTGTATAAGATATTCAAGATCACCTCAGTGTTTATGTGTCATATATTTTTGGGTTGATCAACGAATTGAATAAATTGTTTAGGTTTGAAATTGAAGCTTTCCATATCCTTTTTATTTATAGATTGTTTTTGCATATTAAATTGATGTACGTATTATGTTGTTCGAAACAAATTGTTTATTTCAATATTATTATGACGGAGATTTCTTTTATAGCTACAAGGACATTTCTTCTATGAAACAAAATTGATTATCGAAGATTCGAGTGTTTTAAATATAATGTAGAACATAGTACTTTGTACCATATGGTTCTGTTAATTTTGTTCTCAACTAGTATTATGTAGTTTTGTTATTCTTGTCGCAAACTATTATTGTATACATTCGGTTTTGTTATTCACGTTTTAAATTAGTATCATGTACATATGTAGAGTATTGTTATGCTTGTTTTAAACTATTATGTACATATACTTTTGTTAATTTTGTTTTAAGCTAGTATTATATGTACTTGTTCTGTTGTTATATATTTAAACTAATATTGCGTACCTATTCTTTTGTTATTATTATTTTAATCTAGAATTGTGTAGATATGATTATATTATTCTTATTTTAAACTATCATATGCAATGCAACGATATTCGACATTGCAAGTATGGAACTGATACACTGACACACTGATAAACAGAAGTCTATTTTTTTAATTAGAATTCATACTATATTTAGAACTGTTGGGTTTCTGATCATTGTAGCTATGAGCGCAGACGAATACATCTCCTGATTCGCGATTAAGCGTGGCGTGGCAAAGCGTCAGGAACCAGTCTGCTTTTGATTTCACGAGTGATGCGTGATCGTTCGGCACTTGTTTCGAGAGTGTCATGGAGCGCGGGTTCAGGGGCGTACGAACTGAACTGGCCCTAACAAAAATAAAATAAAATAGATTTTATTGTAGTATGTATTTATTTTATGATTTATGCGTTTACATTTGTCACATGAAGTACATAATAATGGAAATATCTGAAGATTTAAAAAAAAATTCGATTATTTGTAAGTTACTGAGATTGTCAAAACAAGACTGCCTGTCACAAAATTTTAATTTTGCGTAAAAATTTACGATTTATCCATAAGTAGACTTTGGATTTTATTCATTTATTATAAAAATAAGCAGATCCCATATAAACCAGCAAAATGATTTACAAAATTCGTGATTGTCTATATGTTATTTTCAACTCTCATATAAATTTTTGATTTTCTATAAAAATCCGCAAACCAATCATAAGTATGCAATTCAATCCGAATGTAATACAGCAATTAAATATTAAAGGAGATTTATTTAAAAGAATTCATACGACAAAATAAAACACTCCGAAATGTTCACTTCAAATTCAACAACTATTCGTATGAGTTACGACTTGAGTCTAGCAATGTTATTAGTAAAAATATCTCGACATTGTTAAAGTTACGACGAGCATGGGTGTTCTAAAATTTTATTTAATCTTATCGTAACCAGTTTACGGTAATTTATGTTACAGTTTTACAGAGAATTTTTCGAACATTTCAATCCAACGAATTTTCTTCACAATGCTTCCAGCTAATTATAATTTTATTCCAATGAAACCGTGGTAAATTTCGTTGAATTCCAAGCGTTACAACGTCTTGAAGATTCTTCTAGTATAAAGTTCCACTGTCTAATAATGACCGATCAAATTAATATCGTTAGTTTTAACGATCTTCTCGACTACTCCAACATATTTTCCGCTCGGAATTTCTCGAAGAGATTCACGACGATGTAATTATAGCGTAAATCGCTCCACAAACAAACATAATAAATCAGCTAACCTGAAATCCTCGAATAAGAGCCTTGCAAAGGGTCAACACGGAGGATCGGAGCACTCACTCACTCACTCACAACTGGTCCACCGTCCACCATAATATACATAGAGCGACGGGGATACCATCAGAGTCCATCGGTTTGCTTTCCCCTAGCCGAAACGGGCGTTCGTGACTCGTCTTCACGCAACCCGTCATATACGGGGTGAAACGCCTAAAACCGACCTCTAACACGGTCACAAAAAGTAGGGGAACTCTGTACAATATCTGCAGTTTACAAGCCAAATCAACTATGCATTTGATTTTTTTTTTAATATTTGTGTCAAAATATTTTATTGACTCTTAGAATTTTGTATTTAAAATCAATTTCTTCACCGTGGAATAATAAACAACTTATTATTACACATGTATGTTGGACAATTTATTATTATACATGTATGTTAGATAATTATTAGATATGTATTTTAGACAATTTATTATCATACAGGGTGTCCCAAAATTATCGTATTTCCGGGAAATGGGGAGTTCCTGAGGTCATTTAGTGTAACTTTTTCCTCAGCAAAAATGCAATCTACGGCTTTGTTTACGAGTTATTAATTGAAAATAGTGACCAATGAGAGGCGAGCGCGCGAATTGCAAGGTGATTAAGCGAGCAAGCGGCACGCGGCTTCGGCAGTGGGACGGCGACGACGGTTTCGGGTTGCGTTCGAAGCAATGAACAAGTCTCGGAGCGTGAGCTTTCCGAATTGTTTTATTACGTGTCAGTGATATTTTTAAGAAAAACGCTGTTCATTCTTATTTTAAAATGTCTGAAGGATATTTACTAATTTTTCGGAGCTTATCTATTAGCATTATCGTATTTGCAAAATTTTTTGTTATGACAATTTGTAAGGGAATTACTTGTCATTTAATTAAAATTTTGTTGTCGTTTGATATTTTGTGTAATATGAAAAAGAAATATTATAATAATGAAAGAATGGAAACATTAATATTATTCAATTAGCTGGGAAGAAGGTACTTTTGTATTTATTGGTTTATGAGCAACTGTACACACTTACAAACATTCTGTGCACATATACATACCTATAGATGGTAATCAATGGATTGCAAATCTTCATGCATAATAAAAATTGCCCAAGTTAATTTTAAGAAATACAAGGTAGGCGAAATTTAATAATTGTAATACATTGAAAACAGTGTAACAATATTTTGAAAGTCTTCTAATAACTTAACAATTTTGTACTTGATCCATTCATTTTTACTATGAACGAATAAATTTGCACTCTGGTAATTAATTTGTTAGTTTTTAGTAACCTAGGAGATAAAGCTGTTCATTTAATAAATACAGGTTTAGAATCTTTCGAACTTGACATCGTTATCTACCCGATGAAGATAAAAGAGATTGCGGATAATGATATCGTATCAAGTGTTTTTAATGTTTGCTTACGATTTTTATAATTTTCATGTTACACGCATGCTGGTAAAGTTTCCATTCTTTGTTATGCGAACCATGCTTTTCTTCCTATTCATTAATTACCATTACTGTTACTAAAACTTAGGTAAAACGTACGTTTATTAAACGATGTCAACAATAATAAAATATTATAATTTATATCCTTGTATACTGTTCATTTCTCAAACTGTTTACACTGTTTTTACGATGTACGTGTTAAAATAAGACATCGTTTCAATGCGAGTGATAAGGATTAATTTATTCAATGAATGTTATCATGCAATTGTAGCTACATTACTATGTACTTGCTGTTTGTAGAGACATAAAAATTAAGTCACATATCACGAAGGTTTTATTTCTTTGAATTTGTTTTCGAAACAAAATTATTGAAAAACATTATTAATTGTAACACGTATGCTTGTGTGTTAATTATAACACGTATGCCTGTTAATAAAATAATTTGATGAAAATAATAATTATTGTGATGAAATAATTATGATGAAAAAGTTGAGTGCAGCAACACATTTTTACCAAAACAAATAATGAACCGTTGTTTTCTAGGAATTTGTGGTTTTAGGACTATTTTTACGATTGTTGTATATACTAATTTTTAGCAAATTAATTTTATAATGATCATAGGAACAGTTTAAAACGTAATTCTGGGAATGAGATTAACTTAGAAAGCGGTATCAAATGAAAATATTGATAGATGACTTTTCACTCTT